GCTCCCCGCGTCCGCCGCCATGCCGCCGCCGCGACCGCGCTGCTAGGCAACGGCGACGCGTGCGCGTGCGCGGAGGTCCCCGCTCCCGGCGCCGGAAGTCCGCTGGGTGTTCTGTTCCGAGCGCTTCGGGGACAGTGGGGTACTGGGTCACATGCGGAGCCGAGCGGACAGACGGTTTCGGCTGCTGCGGCGCCCAGCGTGATTTGAACTCCCGATCCCGTTTTTGTTTCTCCCCGTAATTGGCAAGGACAGTGTCTCTGGGGAGAAATTCCATATCAGAAAACTCACCCATTTGAAGTGTACAATGCTGTTTTTAGTACGTTCACGATGCAGCTATGTTCATGGTATAACTGTTACTGGAATCTAATTTTTCACATTTTCCTCAGCCTGCAAGGGACTCTGCCTCTGTAAGCAATCAACCCCATTCTGTCATCTACCCAGCCTCTGACCGTCACAACCATGCTGTCTACAGATTAGACTGTTCTTGGTATTTTGTGTGGGCAGAATCATACATTTGTTCTTTTGTGTCTGCCTTCTTCCACTTAGCATAATGTTTTTGAGGTTCATCTGTGCTGTAGCATGTGTCCATTTTTCATTCATTTTCCTGGCTGTGTAATATTCCCTCGTGTGACAGACCACATTTTATCCATTCACCACTTAGTGGACACAGATCGATTCCACTTTTTGGTTATCGTGAATATGCTGGTATGAAGATTGGTGTACAAGTTTCTAGGTGAACATTTCTTTTGAGTGGATATAAGGAATAAAATTGCTGCATCATTTGGTAACTGCATTTCTTAATACTTTGAGGAACTGTCAGACTATTTTCCACATTTGCCATACCACTTTATATTTTTCACCAGTGACGTGTGAGGGCTCCAAGCTTCCCATATTCTCGAGGGCTTGTATTGGGATGGCCACCCTATGGACCTGAAATGTTTCACTGTGGTTTCATTTGCATTTCCCCACCCCTGACTAATGATATGGGACATCTTTTCATGTAGCTTTTTGCAGAAAATTCTACTTAAATCCTTTGCCCGTTTCTTAATCGGTTACTTGTCTCTTTACCGTTGAATTGCAAGAGTTCCTTGTACCTTCTGGATAGTAGCCCCTTATTTTAGAGATAATTTGTAAATATTTCTCCCATTTAATCTGTTTTCACTTTTTTTTTTCTTCTTTTTCTTTTTTTTTTTTTTTGAGACAGACTCTTGCTATGTAGCCTGACTGGCCTGGAACTCAAGGTGATCCTCCTGCCTCAGCCTCCCAAATACTGGGATTACAGGTGTGTGCCGCCAGGCCTGGCTTTCACTTTCTTGATAGTGTTTTGTTTTTAACATGCAAAACGTTTTCTGGTTTTTTTTTTTCAGTTCTGGGGACTGAAGCCAGGGTCTCTCAAGCATATTCTACCACCGAGCTCTAACCCCAATCCTCATGCAACTGTTTTTAAGTTTGATGAAGTGTAACTTATCTGTTTTCTTCTTTCGGTTGCTTGTGCTGCGAGAAACTGTTGCCTACTCTGCTGAGCAGTAAGTCTGCGCAATACTCTGCTCAGGAACTGTCTGCCAGACTTGTAGCTTGTGACACTCCTCTCCGCTGTGGGCCTGTCACTCCGTCCTCTCGTCCGTGTCGTTAGAAGAGCCAAAGTTTTTAATTTTGAGCAATTTCAAATAATTGTGACCCTTCCAAAAACACCCCCATGGTGGACTCCTGTGTGCTTGTTGATGGCCCTATATTGGAATACCTTTACTGTTGCTAGATAAGTTGGAAGCCAGGTGTTGTGGTGCAGCCCTGTAATCCCAGCACTCAGGAGGCTGAGGCAGGATCACTGAGAGTTCAAGCCCAGCCTGGACTACATAGTGAGCCCCTGTCTCAATAATCAAAAAGAGAAAAAAAGGATATCGCAAACTGGGAAATGAGGCAAAAAGATGACCATTTGTACTTTGAAAGAACTTTTTAAAAAACAGCCAAGGATGTAGCTCAGAGGCACAGTGCCTGCCTGGCAAATGGGAGGCCCTGAGTTCAGTTTCCAGTACTAAGAAAAAGAAAAAAAAAAGAAGTTATAAAAAGATTTAAAGATGCCGGGCGTGGTGGCACACACCTGTAATCCCAGCACTCCGGAGGCTGAGGCAGGAGGATCATTGGGAGTTTGAGACCAGCCGGGGCTACAAAGTGAGCTCAAGTCCAGCCTGAACTGCACAGCGAGACTCTGTCTCAAAAAGACACACACACACACACACACACAAAAAGACAAATAAATAAATAAATAAGTAAAAATTTAAAAAAGAATAGAACCCCCAGGAACCCGAAGTGATCTAAATAAACCAAGGCAAGAAGCCATAACTAGTCCCCGGGGTTTTGTGTTGCTTTTTGAGACAGGGTCTTGTCATGCAGTCCAGGTTGGCCTGGAACTCACTATGGAGCCCAGGCCTCTAACTTGTGGGGATCCTCCTGGCTCAGCCCCCCAGCACTGGGGTTACACGTGAGCACGCGCCACCGCGGCCAGCTTGGTCCCTGCGGTTCTGATGAAGCGGCAGGGGTGAATGATGAGCCCCGAACAATGAGAAGCCGGGACTGGGCCAGCAGAGCTTCGGGAGGGTTCCCCTCCGGACGCCAAGAGCACCACCCTCGCCCTCGCCACCCGGGAGGGGTCCAGAGCCCAAGGGGCCCCGGGCCAGGTCCCTTTCGCCAGCGCACAGAACACAGTCACTGAAATGATTAAAACGCTCCTGTACAAAGGGAGTTTTTCCCAGGACTGCCAAGGACAAGGACAGGAGACTCAAGCGTCCAACCCACGCCCCCGGGATAGTCACAGTACAGAGAAGCCAGGTGAGTCCCACACGATGGTGCTCGCCTGTAATCCCAGCTGTCCAGGAGGGAGGCAGAAGGGTGGGTGGATGGTTCGAGGCCAGTCTGGGCAATTTAGGGAGACCCTGTCTCAAAATAAAAACATGTGAAAGGGCTGGGGCTGTAGGTGGGTGGTAGAGTGCTTGCGTGGCATGTGCGAGGGCCTGCGTTTAAAAAAAAAAAAAAAAAGCACTGGGCCTGGTGGTGCACGCCTGTAATCTCAGCACTTAAGAAGCTGAGGCAGGAGGATCGCTGTGAGTTTGAGGTCAGCCTGGGCTACAGAGAGAAACTGTTTTTAAAAAGTCATGGTTCTGAAGGTCAACTACACACAAGTAAGTAGAACTCAGTGATGCTAGCGGGTTTCCCCGGCTTTCCTCCCCTTCTTTTTCTTTTTTGGTACCAGGAATCGAACTTCACACTTGCCAGGCAGGCACTGTGTCACTGAGCTACATCCTCGGCCTCTACCGGGTTTTCCCCAGCTTTCAGGAGGTCAGGTCTGGGTGAGCCAGACCTCAAGAGCCACAGGGGGAGGCACACAGTGCAGAATACGGCCGCCTGAACCCCAGCTCTCGCTCGGCCCCTGCCGTCTCTCCTCTTCTTTCTCATCCGAGCTCCCCGCACCCCGGCCCCAGGTCTGGGGATTAA